CATGTCGTGGAGGGGAGTGCGGTGTCCCTGAACGAGGACCTTACCTTTGTGGGCGCTGTCGCCGGCGAGGAGTGTTCTTGTCTGCTTGACACTGGTTCCTCTTTGAACGTCCTGCATCGAGATGTGTTTGAGCGGTTGATTGGCGTGAAGCTTCATCCGACGTCTACGAAAGCCAGAACAGCTGCCCAGACTGAGTTGCCCCTCGCAGGACGGATTTCAGTTCCGGTGCGGGTGGCTGATCAAACGCATGTAGTCAGCATGTATGTGTCTGGCTCGATTGACGTTCAGTGTATCCTTGGTCTGGACTTTTTGCGAGCCGTCCCCTGTGTGATCGACTTGACGAACAAACGCCTTGTTCTGGTATCTGGTGACTGTGTCAGATCTGTGTCTGTTGATCGCACCTCTGTAGGTCGCGCTGTGCTGGGCTGTGACGTATCCATCCCTCCAGGCGCTGAGTGCTTTGTGCAGGGACGAGTGCATCACTGTGATTATGAAGGCGAGGTCTTGGTGGAACCCAGTTTTGACTCGCCGGGGATTGAGGTGGTGCGTTGTGTTGCTCGGGTAGAGAAGTCCTCGCTGCCCTTGCTGATTAGAAACTTGACCATTGACAGCGTTACACTGCCTAAACACTCTGAAATAGCTGACTTGGAGGTCAGCTTTGTTGAAGAGGACTTTCCAGAGGCAGCCGGTGTACGTTCGCCTGCAGATATCGAGTCTGTTGTTGACCTTGAGGGTTCCTGCGTTACAGATGTTCAGCGTGAGGCTTTGATAAATGTGCTGAAAAAGCATGAGAGCATGTTTGATGGCCATGTTGGCCACACTGACCTTGTCACTCACAAAATTGACACGGGTAACAGCCCACCGATCCGACAGAGTCCCAGGCGTATCTCCCCTCATTTGACCGAACAGGTGAGAAATGAGCTTAACAAACTGGTAAATGAGGGTATCCTTGAAGAGTCTGAGGGAGGCTGGGCTTCACCCATCTGCCTGGTGAGAAAGAAATCTGGAGAGCTGCGTGTTTGCGCTGACATGAGAAAACTCAACTCTGTCACTCGTCTCCCTGCGTACCCAATTCCCCGCATTGACGATACGTTAGACGCTCTTTCAGGTTCATCCATTTTTTTTGCGTACTCTATATGAACTCTGCTTATCATCAAATTTCCATCGATCCCATTGATCGTGAGAAGGCTACCATTACTACCCCTTTTGGGAACTATAGGTATACCAGAATGTGTTTTGGGCTGAGTTCTGCCCCATTTACATGCTGCAAACTGTTGAATATCGTTCTCGGTGACATGCCCAAGGATTCGTGCGTGCATTACTTCAATGACGTTATCGTACATGGGAAAACGTTCGATGACGTGCTGCTGGCACTTGATGAGGCGTTGTCACGTTTTCAGGAAGCAGGACTTACTCTGAACTTGGCCAAATGTCAGTTTTTCATGCCCCGTGTTACGTTTCTTGGGCACGTCATTTCTCCTGACGGCATGTCCACAGATCCTGAAAAGGTGTCAAAGGTCAAGGACTGGCCTCAACCGCGAACCAAGAAAGAGCTGTTAAGTTTCCTGGGTTTGTGTTCTTATTTTAAGAAGTACGTCAAAGATTTTGCAACCATTGCGTCACCTCTCTTTGATTTGACTAAAAAGGATTTCCCCTTCCAGTGGTCCGGTGCGGCTGATCAGGCGTTCAGCACTCTGAAAAGGGCGCTGTGCGACGCTCCGGTGGTCGGATTTCCAAGGTTCGGCGACGATGCCGGCATGTTCACCGTGGACTGCGACGCCAGCAATGACGGTATTGGGGCAGTCTTGCTGCAGGACCAGGACGGGGTTCAACGGGTGATTGCCTATGGCAGTCACCGTTTGTCAAGGGCGCAGAGGAACTACTCAACGACCAAGAAAGAGCTTTTGGCCTGTGTTACATTTGTGCAGCAGTTTTCGCACTACCTGTTGGGTAGAACTTTCCAGTTGCGGACTGATCATAGCAGCCTGCAATGGTTAATGAATTTCCGTAATCCCACAGGCATGCTAGCCAGGTGGATGGAAATTCTGGGAAACTTCTCATTTCAGATTGTCTACAGGCCTGGCACTCAGAACTCGGCTGCTGACGCGTTGAGCAGGTGCCCACCTCGGGTTGTTGACAACTGTTCGCAGACTGAATTTTGTTGCAAAGTGTCTGCTCAGAACTGGCCGCTGAGCTACATTCAGAGTGAGCAGAGCAAAGACGCAGTATTGTCAGAGGTCATGGACTTACTGGTCAGAGACGTGACGCCCTCTCGCAGATCGGCATCGATAGGCGTGCGGCGATGGCTGCGGCATTGGGCTCGTCTTCGTCTCATCGAGGGGGCCCTCTTCCGGGTGTATCGCAGCAGGGCCGGGCAACCTGAGCGCCTCCAGGTGGTGATTCCTCCTGGACTGGTGGGTGGTGTTTTGACGTCTCTTCACGCAGGACCCTGTGGTGGACATTTTGGACCAGAAAAGCTGCTGAAACAGGCGCAGATCCGGTTCTTTTGGATCGGAATGGCTGCTGACATAAGCGAGTTTTGTTCGCATTGTGACCGCTGCACTGGTCGTAATGCTCCAAACCCGACGCCACGTGCGCCCATGGGCGAGCTCTTCGCGTCAGAGCCATGGGAAGTCCTCTCGATTGACTTTCTGACTGACCTCCCTTTGACTGAGCGTGGCAATCGGCATCTGTTGGTGTGCTGTGACCATTTTACCAGGTGGGTCGAGGTGTTCGCGCTGCCAGACATGACTGCTGTGACCGTTGCGCGGACCTTGGTAGACGAGGTGTTTTCCAGGTACGGATGTCCAGGGCGTCTTCACTCGGACTGCGCGGCGAACTTCCGGAGCCAGATCATTACTGAGTTGTGTCGCATCATGGGCATCGACAAGTCAACCACGACGCCGTTCCATCCGGAGGGCAACAGCAGATGCGAGCGGGTGAACCGCACCATTCTTGACATGATGTCCAAGTATCTTTCAGACAATCACTCAGAGTGGGATCTACATTTGCCGCTCTTGATGATGGGGTACCGCGCACAGATCCACAGGTCCTTAGGTTATTCACCATTCTACTTGATGTTCGGCCGTGACCCTCGCCTGCCGATCGATGTGGAAATCGGTGCCCCCCACGCAGTAAGGTCAAAGTCTGCGGCCGAGTACATTGACAATTTGTGTGCAGGTCTTGGAGATGCCTACCGTGTTGCCTTGCGATTCTCGGACGCAGGCCACCGGCGTAACAAGCGTGCGTTTGACGCCAAGAGCAGAGCGTATCAGCACGCGGTCGGTGACCATGTCATGTTGTTCTGTGCAGTAGCAAAGAAAGGAGAGTATCATAAGTTTGTGAGACCATGGAAGGCAGGTGTGGTCGAGGGTCGGAAGGGCGATTTGTATTATCGGGTTCGATTGGAGAATGGGAAGCTGGTGAATGTGCATCACAATCGCTTAAAACCCCATCCGACACCTGTGTGTGCTGTCGATGACCAGTCGATCGCAGACTCTGCGAGCGCAGACCCTGAGGATGCTGCGACGGCTGCTCATGGGTCCAGTGCGGACCCTCATGTTGACTCGGATGGTACCGGGTCAGCTTCTGACCGACCAGCTTCTGGTTCTGCGAGTACTGACCTGGTCTGTGCTGCGCCGAGTGTGCGGTCAGGTGTCCCTGCGTCCGTTCACCCGCTTCCCGAGCACCTGGAGGGTTCACGTGATGTCCCCTCTGTGGATGTGGGAGCTGTTGAACCTGACGAACATGTGATTGACACGTACTCTGATCAGGAAACTGTCCAGTTTCCAAATGTGAATATGAACCCTCTGGACTCTGGTGATTCCCCTGGTGTCGGTCGTGGGGATGCTGGTGCTTCCCCGGGTGTTGGTGTTGTGGACCCCAGTGATGCCCGGGAGAACATTGTTGATGTTCCTGATTCTTCCCCGGACGACCTTGTGGGTCCTGGCGGTTCGGGGGGTGGCGGCGACGAGGGTTCTGGTGGTCTCCCGGGGGAGGGTGTCTGGGATCATGGTAACCGGGCCGGCGTTTCGGGATCTGGTGCTCCTCGTCGGTCTCGGGGTCGTCCTCCCCGGTCTCGGGCGTCTTCCTCGGGGGTCCGGCAGACTCTTCCTGAACGGACGTTGCCTGCTAGGAGTCGAAAACCACCTGATCGCTTGTGTTTGTACATTTTTAATGACTCGTTTTAGTGCAGTGTTGCGCATGGCTCGGTGTTGAGCGCTGTACTTCAACAGTGATCGATCGTTGGACCTCATTCCGTCTGATTACGTTCCTTGTTTTGTGTCTAGGCTGACCGTTGGTGGTTGGCCTCACTAATACGTTATTTCTTTCTGGTCCCCAGGGGAGCTGCGTCTTCACGGAGGGGAAGAGTGTAGGAGTTGGAGTGGGCCATTCTGCCCGCATTTGCATCTCTGCGGCCGAGAGCATGCTGGCGGCCGGCGCCCCGGGCGAGGGCGCGACCGAGGCGGCGCGCGGGCTGTGCTCGGGTTTGCATCTCTACGGCCGGGAACGCGCCGGCGGCCGGCGCCCCGGGCGAGGGCGCTACCGAGGCGGCGCGGGGAGTGCTCAGTGTTCGGGAGGGATTCTGATGGTTACTGCTGTGTCGGACGGTTGTCCAGGTCGAGCTGTCCAGTGCTCGCGATGTGATATTGCTTGGTGTCACTCACAATACAGCAAAGTCAATGCATCATTCGCTTTGCAACAACACGGTCTACAACACGGTCTACATTTGCAAGGACATCGCCTTTCGGTACTTTCTACAATATGTCAGTTTTTCTAAGCCGGTATTTGTCACATGACGAAAACCGGAGGCTGCTCGTCAGCATGTTTGCCAAATGTTTCCTGTTGTAGGTTCAACAGATTAATTGCTAAAAACATATTACGCCATTAACGTATGTTACTTGAATTATTGCATCAAACCACATGTAGAATATAAATAGTTCTGCCAAATGCCAATCAAAAATAAAAAGTTGTGCGTGGCACGTCACGAATTCACTTACGGGGTCTGTGCTGGCTGTACTGGTAGCCATCCAGGATATTGAAAACGAATGTCAGGAGGTTCCCGGAGCCGGGGGCCGGCACTCCGTACAGCGAGAGGCCGTCACTGAGACGAGCCGTGGCCGGTGTCACCCAGCGCACCCTGGAACGGTACAGCAACCGGTGAGCCGTCACCGATCCGCACACAGCCGCTCATTGTCAGTGACAGAGACAGGTGATCACTCCAGCCACGCAGGCAAGTGAGCGAGGAGGCCACTGGCTACTCCATGCAGATCAGTGATCAATTCACTCAGGACAGTGGTAAATCCACATAGATCATTGACCAGTCCACATATTTAGATCAGCGGTCACCGGCCTGTCCGGACAAATGAAGGCCGTTGATTGACCAAACCACACAATTCAGTCTCAAAGAGGCCGAGGCATCCAGTTCCGTGCAATCATTGCACATATCTGAGAACAGAACTAGTTCGGATCTTCAACAGCAGCCGCCTCCAATGATCCCCATTATACCCCACATTCATGAATCATGCTAACAGCATATCAGTCAGTAAAATACCGTTTGATGATTTACAGTAAGCAGATAAATCGCCATCACCCATCTCGTCCATATTATCCGCTCTACGTCAAATGTTAGCTCACCTGTAGTCCTCGAGGTCCTTTAGTGTGATGATTCCACCGTTCTTCTGGATGTCATCGGCCAGCTGTTTCCCGACTTGTCCGCCGTAGAGGGCGGCGGCGCCACCGTCGGCGATGGCCTGTAGTGTGTCTGCCAGCGCCGGCCGGCGCACAATGTCGCCCTCCTTCTTGGGCTCGCCGGTCGTCTCGTTGAAGAAGATGGACCTGACGGTGGGCACAGAGCCACGTCGTAATGCAGAGGCAGAAAAGGGTCTCAGGGGTATGAGGTAAAGAGATAAAAAACGACCAAGACAAAAGCCGGGAGAGCTGAACCAGGAAAGATGATCAGTGAGCATATTAGGATCATAGGATGCAGCACCAATAGACTAGTTTTGAAGCGTCGTTCGGAATATGTTTAGGGGATCATTTCTTTCCTTTGATGATGTTCTGGTCGTGTGTCTCGTGCCAGGTATAATCGAAAAGTAAGGACAAATGACACGAGAAATATAGGCTAGGCACCCTGTCGCTCATTGATATCACGAGCTTCGCGATTAATTGCTAAGAATAGCTAAATTTCCTGAACTCTTCTGAGATAGTATCAACAGTAAACATCTTTCCAGAGTTATTTGATGCTTACTTGAAGGTCGGGTCAACGATGAGTTCATCCATCTTGGCTCTGAGGTAGCTGGCCTGGTGGCCGTTGACGCGGTACCCCTCGCGGCAGAGTTTGATGGTGGGCTCGAACAGCTCTGCCCACGGCAGTCGGCCGTGCTTCTGGTGGGCGGCCCAGTAGCCGGCCACCTCGCCCGGCACACCCGCCGACTTCCAGCCTGCAGCAGGGTAGAGGGGTACACTGAGCAGGACAGAGGGGTACACTAAGCGGGCGATGGTTTAACATCGGCTCAAGAGTCAAACGCTCGATGAGGAGTATAAAATGTTATAAGACTGCTCAATAACTCAATCAAAAGGGGTAGGAAGTGAGTCTGATATAGTTGTTTTGTTGATAAAAAGAAGCAAAATATGCGCATCGGCCTTCATTCCATAAATAAAGGTAAATGAAGAAACCTAATATCCCCGGCTTGTAAGATGTGAGGAAACTCAAAAGCCAAACTCGAAATCTCTTCATCATAAAAGCTGGCGAAATAAGCAGGAATATTCCGGAAACGAGCGACTTTATCGCATCGGATGACAACGTCTCCGAAAAATGTCTAGCGACAGAGGGCCTGTGCCAAATAGCGGATCCAGTCGCGAGACCCGCGCCGGTATCCCGTACTGACCGTACTGCGACTGCGAGGGGTCGTCGACGAACATGTCCCGGGTGGCGGCGGCCGGCGCCGTCTCGCGCGCCAGCAGCGCCGCCGCCTCGCGCTGCCGCCGGTCGTACAGCGTCATGATGAAGCCGCCGCCGATGCCGGCTGACTGGGTGTTGATGACGCCCACACAGACCAGCGCCGCCACGGCCGCGTCCACGGCTGTGCCGTTCCGCCGCAGCATCGCGCTGTCGGAGAAATACGGGAACACAGTCTAATCAGCTTATAATCTTCAAAGGGTCAAATTATAGTTTTTATTATAGTTTTCCAACATTATATCTCACTACAAAAAATGGTACCTATCGCAAACTAGCATACTCAACATGAATTTCAGTCATCATAGTTTAAGCCATTCACGCTCATCTATTTATCACTTGGGTTTGAAGGGACGATAGGTAAGTACAAATATTTCTTTGCAAACATTACGCGATTGTCATTTGCCTTACCTTTCACTATTCTACAAAAAGAAAAAGAATAAATGAATATAAGCAAAAGGCGCTAGTGCAAAACTAATATTTGATCCTTTTTCAAACGGATTCGAGACAGTGTCGGTCGCGATAACTCACGCTCCGATTTCGGCACATTCCGTGGCATCGGAGGCAATGGCTGCCTTCTGGAACTTTCTAAGTGGAGTCGAGGACGGCTCTGGTCGCAACTCTTGGAACGCTGCAGGACCATTGCCGTTGAGGTTTGGTAAACCTGTCACAAAAGGCGCAGACAGGCGTTAGTGGTGCTGGATGGTTCGGGACTACGTCAAGCAAGCAGTAAACTGAGGGAACTAAACATATACGCTTCATTTTTGTTTTATCCCGTCATCTTTTCATCTTGTTCCATTGGTAGGATTGATGCTATGCAAATTATCATGTCTTCCTGTATAGCAGTTCATATAATTCATTGATAGGTACCATATATCGCTAAGTGCAAACAAAACAGTAAGGTACTTACAGAACGCTAATGACAGTGCAATTGACGTGATGATCAAGAAGAGAAGAAGTCCTAGCAGTATCACATGACCTTTTTTCACCATACACCTGAAAAGCACAAAGGAGGTGGTCAAAGACGAAAAAAGATTTTAAAGCTGAGCTTGATGAGCTGCGTATTTTTATACTTCGCTCAAAACATTAAATTTATACGAGCATATGGAGGTCAGTTAACAGTTCATGCATCACCGGGTGAACAAGCATTATTAACTGCTTCTAGGTAATTCATAAGTGCGTTATACAAATGCTCAAGTGTCCTGCTGATAATATTCGCTATTGTAAACACCTTCATTACTTAACTGAAGACGTGACTGGTAGGTGGAATGTAAAGCTGCTTGAACTTTTTTTACTGGTAGTTATGATATATGGCTAATGCGGGACTCGAGTCAGCGAAGTGTTTAATGCATGGCCGAGTCACGAAAGGTTCGTAGCACTGCGACCGCGGCTATTGATTCTATCGACCGCTTACGGCAGAGCAGCGGCCCCCTAGTGTCGACTTTGGAGCCGAGGAGCTGTAACGGACGTTCTGCCTCACTAGACCGTCCACGTCAGTACATCACATGGCCCTGCACCCAGGTCCGCCAGGGTACCACGATTAAGTTGATTGACCACAGCCCTGCACTCAGGTCCGCCAGGATACCTACATGAAAGGCTGATGCCCGAAAAACGTAAAGTCTTTGTTACCTGCATAAAATGATAAAAGCTGGATAGTGTGCACAAATAATCTGTAATCGGTATTTGACCCGCATTAGTTACTATACACAAGTGCCGAACAATGTTACCGCTTTACACCGAGCGCTATGCAATGTTCACAGTGCTGAGTGTGCCGAGATTGCACTACTAGTTGGCGCCTGAAGTTATGCTGCACCGCAGCGCTTTTATGTTCATTACCGCTCATAGATGGCACCACCGGTAGACGCCTGAAGTTATGCTGCACCGCACGGCCTTATGTTCATTTCCGCCCATAGATGGCACCACCGGTAGACAAGACGCCTGAAGTGATGCTGCACCGCACGACCTTATGTTGATTTCCCCCCATAGATGGCACTACTGGTAGGCGCCTGAAGTTATGCTGTACCGCATGGCGCATGGCCTTAACCCGTCGATACGATAATCGGCATGTAGAAACCGAGCACATATGCTCGTATGTAGTTCCGGCAAAATGTATTGTTCACGTGTCACACGTAACACTTTTACAATGGACGTTATTACAGTGCTGCCCGTCCATATAGGAATTGTATTGAGTTCGTTATCGACGAGACAGTGCCGGCTGTACTCCGGATTTTTTTTTCGGCGACTTACGCAGACCGAACCAGCAGTCAGAGAGACAAAAACACAATCCATTTGTTTCAGTTTCACAGCGCAGCACTTATCGTCTCGAAGACAGCTAGTAAGGGCATCCATTTTAAGCCCAACTGCATGATTGGTGGACCATGTTTGGTAAGACATTAGAGACGTGCTAAAAATGTCACTTACCAAGATCTGCAGGGCTCTGCTTTTCAACAAAAATATCAACAATGGAAATCCCAAGTGACTGTATATTGTATAATCAAAACGCCAGATCATTAGGTGCAGAATACCTATGCTGCATTTTCAAACAGTCAATGATCTATTACCTACAATGACAGTATCAAAATCTAGCGATTTGAATTTGACTTTTTAAATAGTTAGTATTGACATAGGGGAAAGGGTAGACAATGGATATGTGTGAAGAGCAACAGCATAACCAACGTGTTTTCTTTTATAACCGGCAAAACACTCAGTTATACACTAATCTGATGCTTAACCAATCATGCACCTAAAGTCAGATGTTGAAAGGCACCGCCACGGATGAGATAATACGGTCTAATCCATGACAGCACGAATGGTGTCATCACGTGAGTGAGTAGAGTAAATAAATTAAAGATGCTTGCTTATAAAAGAATAAGTGATTGAATTACGTACGATGACACTTTTGGAAGTTTTATTAACAGTGCAAAATAATAACTATTTGTTAAAAAAAAACAATAAAAATAATTACGATGAAGTAACCGCAGGCTGCTTGAAATAGACAAACACTATCCGTTAGAATTGATCTGTGAGTCAGACACACAGATGTAATGACGGACTTACATGGTGGCGACGTTATGGCGTGGTTGGGAAGTCCTGGACTGAGTGGTAACGCCCTGCTCTCCGACAATATATACCGTGGATCATCACATTTCAAACAGAGCCCATCAGGATGACTGGACCTTTTGGACGGAGACTCGAATCACCCATAGCCGCCGCCTCCCCTCCCCGCCCCCTCCCCTCCCAGGCTCGGCTCACGGCTGGTGCGGCAGCCTCCAGTGACGGCGGTGCACGACCGCCGCACGTGATGGGTGAACAGTTGGTGAGAAGCTGCTGCACGTGGCGGGTGAGCAGCTCGTGAGTGTATACTCGTACTCCATTGAGGAGTTGCAGCTGGTGAGCGGTCGTTGAGCAGTGGTGAGCGATTAGTGAGCAGTTGGTGAGCTACAGTGAGCGAGTGGTGAGAAGTATTGAGCGATCGACGAGCAGTTGGTGAGCGATCGGTTCATTGATGTGTTATTGGCCCGTGCACTATACCGCCGTACCGTCTCCCCACGCACGCGTCCTCTGGGCTCGACAAACACGCAGACAATTGGCGGGTACGGTGGTGTGTGGGGACGAGACCGAGGGATGAGGTAGCGATCGGCTGATGGTAAACAGAGCCCGAACAGTGGCTGGAGAACCGCACCTCTGCCAACGGTGGCTAGACGCCAGCGGAACGGAGAGTCCCGTAAACAAACGCCCAAGTTCAGTGGTACTTCGATACTGACTCGGCATTTACGGTTATATGTATGTATTGATTTGATTGATATTGACGGTTATATGTACGCCATATTATTATATGGCGACTGGTCATGATAAGCGTTATTACATGCGTTATGTTTGTACTATTGTGGAATGTGGTCCCTCCATAAATGAGATTGTTCTTCTTTAATGACTTGCATAGAGCATCCTATTCCTTATAGTGATTTGGTTGGATTGAAATGCTTACCTTAGACCTGCTATTATGTAACACCGTGCTCGGTTGCGTCGATGTATATCGAACTTATTACGTGTGATCTGTGAAAGCAAAATGTTGCATAAAGCTGATAGCTGATGTGATATAAATGGCCATATCACAGCCCTACAGATGATTCAAATGGTCCGCGACCGCTCCAGAAGCACGGTACCTAACATATTCGGAAAAGGAAGAAGTGCTATAGCGTTATCATCGACTCCTAAAGCACTGTTTACAGCAACTTCTTCATTCCGTGAGAAGCTGGAAAGAACGATGCAGCATTCAGCTTGAGCTGATATAACACTCTCAACATGTCACTTACATGTCTGTGCTCGCTGCAGCCTGCTATACCTGCACCTGTACCGGAAAGCAATTCAAGGTAAATCTGATCATCTTATCAAGGCATTCAATTTAAACGGACTTGTTAAAAGTGCACAATAGCGGCAATAAAGGTCATTTCTAAACCAAACACAACTGCCTGTATTATAATTGGTACATGCCATATGAACTGCTTACTTTCAGTTTTGTTCCAGAAACAGGCCGCAATCCTAAAAGTTACAGCTATGCTTTTCATGCTTGATGCTTATGTTGTTCTAAAACCGACCGAATGTAACTCGTAAGTCAAATGATTGCCGCCAGTGTCACGCCGCGACCCGTCTTGAACTGGAACAACTCAAACTAGGCACACTACGGTTAACGATCGAGTCTCCCTTTAAAGGTCAAAAGGCAGCTCATGACCTCACCCTCACGCCGGCTGCGGTGAGGTCATGATCCAGAAAATAAATAAAAACTGACTGCAAAGATCACGACTGGACGAAACGGAGCTTGCCATAAACGCAAAACGATCCGACCACGCAACCCAGACACCGAGCAGGCATGTGCGGCACACTGCGAAATAGCCACCGAGGGTGTGAAAGGGGCAGATTGAAGAGTCATTTCACACGTCAAGTGTAGTACCTGTTTGTGATCCGCGCCTTGGGCGGCGCCTCGGTGGTGATGGACGGCAGGTCGCCGTTCCAGTCGGTGATCTGCGTATACGAGTTCTGACGCTCCTCCAGCTTCCGCTTCTTGCGCGCGTGCTTACGCTCGGATTTGCTGGGGTTGGACGGCGGCATGGCGCCGGTGTCCTTGGAGCCACTGATCACAGCCAGTCGTCCCGGCCACCTCCGATCGACCGGCCGCCGACCACTGTCACACACAGCCCACCCCGGCGGAGATGCCCACGAACAGGGCGTCGCCACGTCACCGCTCACACAGCGGCTAACGCGGCGTCACGGCGCCGTCCAGCGGAGGTGGCCGACTGCCTGCCGGTCGGCGGCGGCCAGGGCGGCGGCCTCCCTACCTGACGCACCGCCACCTGCCGCACCGGACGCGGCCCGCAGTGCACCGTTCCAGGCCGGCCGGAGCGGCTCTGGCTCTGGTCCAGCCGATCGGCGCTGGCTTTGGACGGCCGGCTCGGCGCATGACGGCGCACCGGCTCAAGACCCTGACCGGTTCTCACAGTCGTGTCAATGACTGGAAAAGCCTCAACACTTCACAAACGTGTAAGCGCTTTGACTGACTTCCTGGGTATCTCACTGACATATCGGGGCTTGGAGCGAGCTCCAATGTCTCAGAGACACGTGACAGACGGGACCGGACTCCGGTGTCTCTCACTGACAGTTCCAAGAACGAGTTCCATTGCGACTCACAACCTTGTTTGTGTGCGGTGTATCGCAGCGGTCTGCGCTCGGTATAATGAAGGTGAACAGGAAGACATAGACTCGCGGTATCGAAACCGCACAATCGATTGAAGAATGTGAATGCTTCCGCTTACAATCTTAGTTGATACCGGTCCCATGAATCGAGCCCATGACAACACGTCCAAAAACAATCGTAAATGCACAGCGCCGGCTCATGCCTTGCATGAAGCATATCCCAAATGTCCCCATAATGTCCACACTACTGAACCGTCCTGGTGATGTAACACACAGAGTAGTGAAGCGACTGCCGAGGGATGGCATGAACATAATCGCCACTGAAGGGGTAATCTAGGAGACGCGCCAAATAAAGAATAATATGACCTTGAAATATTAACGTAACAATTTGACCTGAGGTGAACCTAACCGGAAGAGTTCACGATGTGCATAAGTCGAACCATACCAACCAGGTTGAGGTTGAACCAGGTTAAGCTGAACACTGCACTTTCCATCGCTCTAGCATGTCTCTATTGACCCGCCCCGGGCCGGTCCTCGACACCGGTCCGGTCCTCGAGTTAGACGGCGTGCTTGAGCACACCGTCTAACTCGGCTCCTGAACCACATAGAGACACGCGGTAAGCGATGTTCGAACGAACATCAAAAAGCATAACGATATTGATAATACTTCAGCAAATTCTAAGCTCAGGTCAAATATGAAGTTACCAGCGGTCAGCAAAGGTCAAATTTTACCTATATCGACACACATTGACAAGTTGCAAGCAAAAGTCAGGAACGATCAGAGCTACGCAGCGGAAAAGGCATTCGGTAGCTCTTTAAAGCTTTTTATGGGTATACTGCTCTCAGATTTGACCTAAGGTCAAAGGTTTAGTCCACAGAGGTAAGAGCTTCAGGCAAACATTTTAACGATTTTTTTCAATAACCCCTTTAACACTAGGCTTGCATTATGTTTATTTCACCGCATCGTGTTTCCTTCGTTGGAGGGCATCGAATCAACTAAAATTTGTTCTCAAAAAGTCAATTTGAAAATTTGATCTTGACGCTCAATATTTTCCCCCTCGGCTATTGGCAATGGGGAGATCGATAAATTGACCAGACTTTAAGTCACCGCCAATCGAAAATCAATGGTGAAGACTCTGAACATCCTATCACTCTTATCGACCGCTGAAAGTTTCTGATCGATCAGCTATAGGGCTGAAACAGACTCTTTCCGCGTTCAGGAAATCGCATGCGAGAGCCTATTCAAACACATTATAATCCTTCCCACATCAATCGCATCCGGAAGGTGCGTGTGATTGATGCGAGCGTGCTTCCATGTAGGTATTTGAATAGGATCTCGCATGCGATTTCCTGACTGCGGAAAGAGTCTGTTTCAGGCCATAGGGTATATAGGGCCTTGGGCCATAGTCAGTGTAGCTGTGACGACTGACGTCTGACGGGCATTAAAACCTTTTTTAAAAGATTAGGTCATTTGACATGACCTAGTGACCTGACCTTAGGCGACCTGGGCCTTAAAATTTCATATGTGCAAAAAAAAATGAATCAAAAGGTGTGCCTAACTGCACAAAGGTGTTTGAAACATCCCCGGCTCGGCGTGGGTTAAGAGTTGTAATTGTCGGAAAACTACTGATGACTTGCAAGCTTTTAAGGACCTTACAGAGGTAAAATATGAAGTCGTGGGCGCCAGTTTCCGATTAGTATTCAGTGGAAGGACAAAACGTTAGTGTTTGACATGACCTGGTGATATGACCTGAGCTGAACACTTATGAGCAAATATTAAAAAAAAGAGTTTGATGTTTTGTATACAATGAAGTTTCAATCAAATATTAAACGTTAGATCAACCTTTTCCGTAAATAATAGGAGACGTACACCAAAAATGTTATTATGTGCTTAAAAAAATAAATAAACTTTAATCTGGACCCCAAGACTACTGGTGCGGACACCCAGCGATGAGCGATCTAAAAACAACTTCATCCTGAGAAAAAAGATGCAGTAAGGTTGCTCGTCTAACAGGAGCATGCTAAGTCACTAATATCAGCCCGCTCAGACATATGATCACATTTACCGGGATCTAAAACCGTTTCCACCACACTTACGTCACGAGGATCTTGGTCATGGTGAAAGCTGTTCTCGAGGTCCGAGCGATCGTGGCTGAAACGCTTCTGTCCTACTCCCACGTCTTTATCGTAGGTTCAATGGAGGCTTTATCTCCGAGTCGACGAAGAGCCTCGTAGCACCCTCACCATACTGTCCTCACAATTATCCTTGGTTTGTGCCAATCACTGGTACGTTACGGGTGACTCCGAATGGCGGATTTGATGTGACACTTGGAGGTCATATCAATATCAGCGCATGGTGCTCTCACTCGGACATCGGGTCTCGGAACCTATTGAACAAGCATCCTAGAATGGTCCGACGACCGACGATCGCCGTCGGTCAGCCTCTGTCGCTCGACTGTAATCTGATCCGGGGCGACACGTCACTGCCCGATTGCGTCATATCCGACCGATTCTCTCGCCCATGACAATGTCCGAGAATACCGCTAAGCACAGCTCGTCCCTCCCATGAACACTCACTGAACACTGAACACAAGTCTCACAAACGTTTGCTCGTTGGCGTCCACTTCCCGGTACACTCGCGACACGCACTGGTGCCTCACACCGCGCCGAGTCCCCTGCTCCAGCAGACTCGACGGCGGGTCACACAAGTGTTCTTCAATGAGCTCGACAATCCGAGCGCCACACTGTCAGGGGCGGACCCAGAGATCCTGACGGAGGGTCACACAAGTGGCTCTCAATAGGCTCAGCAATCCAAGAGCCACAGTCAGAGGCGGGGTCGGGGCTGCCGGTCGAGGGCGCACTACGGGACTGACGGGCGGCCAGGGGGCCGACACGGCACTGCACAGCGGTCGGGGCGGAGACCGGAGGGGGAGGGGGCGACACTGACGGCTCGACTGACCGACACGGCTGACGTTGACAGCTCGGCACCGTACCGACTGACTGGGGAGGAACGACAGGGACGCTGACGGAACAGAGGCACTGCCGGTCGTCTAACATTGCCGGCAGGGCGGGCCGCATATCCATGGACGTATGCTTTGGTGGCGGAATAACTAGACACTCATTTGTTCCGAATAATTTTCCTAAATGTCGCAGCTACGTTATCGGTGCTCATACGCAGTCTGGTTGTGGCTTTAAATCTGCATCTCTACATCGAAAGATTATCGGACATGACATGCCTAATAGCTCCCAGACATATTCGGGTCAGACGTTTGGGAGCTGTCAGAACTATTATTCGCCTCTGAGCCTAAAACGGCACGCCGTGGTATTCACATACACGAACCACTCCTGGCCCTGCCAGCTGCTCCACAGTGGCCCATCGTATCGGTGCCCACACGCCGGCTCCGTTGAAGTTCACAGCCGGTATCACCGCTGTGTCGTCAGCCCGGCTTTCCGGCCCGGCAAGAAACATTAGTCAGCCGTGCTTCCGGCACTGAAAGCTGGTAGTGGGTGGCTTGGAGCGGGGCCACAGGCAACTAACTGAGACGGCACGCCGGCGGACCCATCCGAGCTCAGCGCAGATGAGGGAGACATGCATGGGAATGACATTCAAGTGTGACACTTTTGACTCTAGGCCCACGTCTTGTCGGGAACGGGAGGCCAGGGCACAGGCTTCGGATATACCCGGACTGACAAGGCGATCCATGACATTGTTCCCGGGGCACGACCGGCCGAGTCAGCACAACATCGCATACCGACAGACCTGGCACCGCCAGGTCGCCATACCGCCCTTCCATCGCCGACCCTCTGGCCTTTGGTCCTTCAATGACTAACCCTCAGACCTCCTGTCCTTCAATGACCGGCGGTTCTTCTGAGTACAGCCGCTCCCCGACCCTTGGCCATTCTATGACCGGTGCCCTGGCCTTCGGTCCTCCTGTGTATGATCGGGCGGTCCTTCTGTGACTTCTGTGATCTTTCGGGCTTCGTCAATAGCCAGTCCCCTGATTGTGACCAGTCTCTGACCCTTAGTCCTTCCCTCCCGGCCCCTGACCCTTGGTCCTTCTATGACTGATCCCCTTTGACCTTTAGCCCTCCATGTCACGTCCAGCCCCTGCACGGCTCGTTCACTGTCACGCCTCTGCTCGGCCCGCTCTCCGCTCCTGAATTGTTTGTTATTGCTTCTGCTGTGGATGGCTTGACCGCTGAGGGAATAAATCACCGATGTCCAATGGTCATAGCTGACAGTTGAGCCCGGATCATGTTCTATACCAGTCAGTCAGACTGCGATTAGGGCCATACTAGTCATGCAGTCTTGCTATTATAGTTGCAAGCCGTAAGCATTGATTCACCTTCCTTGGTCCGTTCAGAAGCCTTTAAATTCGTTATCATCATGAGTAACTTCTAACTCGTCTCTCGTTGTAGTGACTTGCGACTTGCAAGAAAATGTTACATACCTATAGGCCTAGCCATCTGCAGGCTGCAACCACGCGCCTTAGCAATCAATATCCAATTTTCATCAATTGTATTCAATAATAACCATCAATAGCGACATAAGTAAAACGGCAACAACAGCGATTTATAGAAAAATAAAGGCGCCCTAGCACGCACATGAACTTCATAAGATGCAAATCCCATGAGCAGTCCATGCCTTAGATGCGGAAGGAAATGACCATTCAGAAAGACGATTACAGGCCTCGTTCCTGAAGTTGAGACCCATGCGCATAAGATCCAACCGTAAACAATAAACATTCACAATCGCTTTACGTCCGAGGTCATTCCGTGCACTGGAAATCCGAGCGTGCCGCTGAACCCGTATGTGCCCCTGAGGTGTTTAGTTCCAACCATTGTAACAAGGAAGCAGAGGCCCGGGGCACGCCCTCAAACCCGACACCGTCCGCGGTGTGAGGCACCTGTTAGCAGAGCGAAGCGTCGGCCGTGTTGTGTCGGATCCAGTCGGCGGCGGCCGTGACGCGCGCGTACACGCCCGGGTAGTCGGGACGCGCACACCCGATGCCCCACGACACCACGCCGATGAGCGAGTAGCGGCCGGCGACCTCGGTGACCAGCGGGCCGCCGCTGTCGCCCTGGCAGGCGTCCTTACCGCCGCCAGAGACGGCCGCGCACAGCATGCTCGGGTTGATCTGCCTGTAGGCGGCGCTGCACTGGGCGTTGCTCTGGGTTCGGACGGTGACCTCATGCAGGGCGTCCGGCTGCGGACCTCCGGCGGACGTGGTGCCCCAGCCGCTGACTATGGCCTCCACGCCGACAAACTCGCCGCCGGTCGGCAGGCAGGCGGGCGCCACCCGGCCACCCAGCGCGCCAAAGTCGAGCTGCTGGGCCAGCCGCAGCAGCGAGAAGTCGTAGCCGGTGGTGTCCACGGAGCGGTAGCGCGGGTGCTCGGTGACGGCCGCCACGGCCACGCGCCGCTCACCGTCCGCCAGGAACATGGCGTGCTCGCCGAGCAGCACCTCCAGCCGGTCCGCCGAGCGGCCGACCGTGCAGTGCGCCGCCGTCAGCACGTAGCGGTCGTTGATGACGGTGCCGCCGCACCAGATCCACGAGTCGCCGGCGCTGACCAGGCCCGCCTGCCAGGGGTACTCGCGCACCTCCGTCTCCACGCCGCCGACAATACGGGTGGAGCGGCGCGCCAGGCCGCAGCACTGCCCCCGGGGGCTGCCGTTCGGGGTCAGAGGGGGTATGCTGCTGTCCAGGGACCGGATAGGGTGGTTAGAGGAGAGAGTGGTGCCGTTCTTAGCGGAGAGGAGCGACCCACCAGCGGCAGTGTCTCTGACCAGCTCAGTACCCGACTGACGCGGCAGGGGCACAGGGTCCGGCGAGTCTCCGAAGCGAGGAAGCGGTATAGGAGGGACGGAGGTGTCAGGAATTGTCTCCGAGCGAGGAAGAATGGATGGCTTCGCTTGCACGGCAGCCAGCATGAAAAGGGTGATAACCGATCGTGCCATAGCCGATACCTCGAGGACCACTGTAGCGAACAGGTCGTAAAAGTGTGACAATATCACCGGCCACCGCGCTCTTATACCCTGTCGAAGTGAGATACCACCTGTGTGTCAATCACATGAAGAGCCTCTCCCCCGCTGCCGCACCCCACCTGAGGAAGCCCCATGGAACTGAGAATGCGCCCGTCTGAAATCCGATCAGTGTCGGCAGATGCAGCTGCCCGTCCGTATTTGAGTCGTGCTCAGACCGGCTCAGCTGGTCCAGATAAGGTGTGATTGACGTAACACGTATTTGGTGCCGGGGCGAGCGACAGCGTTACAGGGGGAGAGGAGGGGGCACGCATGATACGGCGGCCGTGTTGGATTAACCACCGGCCTGCCGAGTGCCGACCCAATCCAGATAGGCTTTGCCCAATTATACCCATGAACAAGTGTTTCGGCCGTAGGTATTATAGAAGCTGGCTGTCGGCTTATTGTTGGTTGACGAAGCATAGAACAGAAATAAGCGAGTGGCTTCGATCAAGGTGAGTTTCATGCCAACATTTATTCAATAACGCTAATAAAAATTGTTTTGCTTAGGTGTAGATGCTAATGGGTTATTTCTTATTAAACACTGGTTAGATTAGAACTAACCAAAATACGACACGGCACTTACCTGGTAGGAGGCGGAGTGTAAGGCGATTTCGGAACTCGCCACTTTGAGCTCGGCATGGTGACGTTGGACGCGATCGGTCAGGGGCAGCCCGCCGTTACGGCACTAAAGATAACCACGGCAGTCTCAGGTCAGTCCGCAGGTATCCACTGTGACCTGACCTCGGTCCTGGCGATGTCACCTACTCAGTGGCGCGAGAGAAGATACAAGCCGCGGAGATCCCCGATTCCGAGCCGCCGAGTTCACTGTGCTGCCGTCGAGACGCCGTGCAGGCCTATATAAGACTAGTCTGCAGTGCCCGAGCCTGGTCACCGTGAGACGAACACAGACGCTGAGCCGGGACACTGGCACTGAGCGGCGGCGGGGTGCGCGGTCACGACTCACGTCTGCCCGTGGTCCGTGGCAGTCTGCGACACTGCACTGCAGGTCATGACAGCGGCGCAGATATTGTATCAGACGAGAGGCCGGCTGATGAGGCTATCAGAGCCGTAAAGTCCGTGACACAGGGGGATTATCGATGACCACAGTCTTCTAAGCTTAACAATGTGATAAAGCAAGATCGCTTTGTTTGAAACGCATCTCAGTGTCAATTGAATTTCAAATCGATAGCAATGGGCAAGGCATCGACTCGAAAGACACCACCTTTCATGCATTAACCACTCGCCTTTTTCATTAGACATACCGCTCCGTTCCAAACAGCCAGGCGCCGCGCAGGTGAATGGGGTGGTCGGGCAGCGGGCCTGTGATGACGTAGGTACCTACCTATAGACCAACTGGGGAACAGCTCAGATGCAATACCACATTTAGGTAGGCTCTGGCGCACTGTTACAATCCCCTTGTTGCTGAAAAAACATTTGGAAGTAGTGTCTTCACATTTGCTATTGCATAACTCTTATATCCCGCCCAGACATAAAAAACATTCGCGTAAAAATGTAAAAATCTTGTCAAGGTTTAGGCAAACGACAAGAATCCTGTTCATTTTTTCCTGCCCGTAGTTAAATGTATACCTACCTACTTAGCAATTAGCAATAACTTTTCATCATATTGTAGCAACTTTTGATCAAGCCCATTTTGTAGGTAAGCGACGCGTACAAGCTGTAAAGTCTGTTGGAGTCTAGGGATATCTTAGGACGATAGTTGCCAGTGTCAGATAAGTTGCCGCACGTGCGATAAGCTGCGGTGTTGCACTTTCCTTCACTTGACCTTTGCGAGCGCTAGCCGATAGGCAGCCTTCCGCATCGCTCTATGCTCTGGTTGATGCGAAGAACACTAACGATACTATGAGACTAGCGTAGTGATATATAGGTTACCGCCGTTACGCTGCTAGTGACCGGCGCTACTAGTGACACCACCAAGCCACGTCCGGTGCCCCGTCGGTAGGTGGCGGTGGCAGAGGGCACGACAGGACACTGGCGGCGGGCGGAGACGTCAGCGGCCGTGGCCCGCGTGTGCCAGCTGCGGCGCCGGTCGCCAGTCAGCCCGTGGACGGCTCAGTGTGAATGGACTGGTTCGCTCTGATGTTTGGGGGCTGGCGTGTGGTCAGCCCGGGCGCCGACACGACACAGCGCATCCCTTCCCCCTTAGTTCGCCATCGTAAACAGAACACAGGGTCGGCCGATGATTCGATGGTTCATTTTATTGGGCCTTCTTCGCACTGCCTCCAGTGAGCTGATGTTTAAAACGCGTCGACACTGCAAAGCACGGCTTCCCCGCTCGCATCAGGCAAGTTTGACAAATGGGACAGGCCGCCGCCACGCCAGCGTTTGTACCGTCATACACAGTCGGCCCGCCTTCCCAGCAGTACTTGGATAACCCCGACCGCGGCTGACGGCTGATCCATCGGGTATAAAAAATACTGCCTCAAACGGCCTCACAATGAAATGCGGATTCCTAGCTGGCGTATGCCGCCACAATGTTTTTGGCGTAACAATCGAGAGAAAATAGGACCTAACAAAACAGCATCTAAACTCTAAGTAGTTTGACGAGCGACTCCTCCGATGTTTCACAAACATGAGTTATCGCACATAGGTCACTATGTACAACGCACATGACACCATGTAAACTGTCCAGTATAGGTGCTAACAAATCATCTCGCAGTACATTTCACTGGGTTACATGTGGCCAGCGGGGCCGTCACCGAGTCTATAACGATCACACAGTCCGAGACTGAGCTAGCCATCCACAGCTCTTCATTTCTTTTTGCCTTTGTTGTTTCCCTGAAAGCCGCCTCGAGGTGGTGTGATCGGCCGTCCCGAGTTCATGCCACCGTAGATCTTTTTCCGGTCGATGGGCTGAGAAAAGTAACAAAACATCGTCACCAAGTGTTCTTGTGTAACGTGCAACACCGATACAAAAAGCGAGCACAACACGGAAGGGGAAAACGACGGTGCAATCACATCTTTTTTTTTATTTTGGGCTTAAAGGATCTTTACATTGAAAACGCATGTAGCTTCTGTGATAAGCACGCACGTAGGGTCATGCTAATGAAAATGAATACTGCGTGTTCGGTACCAGGGCTGCGGAGTTGAGGCCTGGACCGGTGAAGGGAATGCTACGCAATAAAGTGTTCACGCTCGTTACCATGCTAAGTTCGTTACCAAAGTCCACCAGGATTCCAGCTCTTCCAAAACACATAGGCCTCATTATGGCTGCAAAACATGGCTGGCGTCCCTCAAAAGATTGTAAAAGGGAATGTAACTCGTCAATTTTAGTCGAAGAAATATACAACCGATCCAATTCAAGGTAAATTTTTAAGAACTTGACATGATCTTGCGGTCGCGGTCATTATTTTCTAAAATTGGTTCAGGACATATGGCAATGTCCCTACTGATGCTGCCTATGTGCGTTGATCTTTGTTGACCTGATTTAGCCATAAAACATTTTAGTGTGAATACCAGTAAAACGCCTTTTGGGCGACTAACGGAGCGAGCGAGAGGATGGGCCTTGCACGTGCGAAATTGCGAGGGGGTACCTCCAACTAACTTGTGCACTGCACCCTACTAACCAGTCTTTAGCGATGTGCCAAATTTCAGCGCAATCGGCCTAGCCGTTCTCGAGATCTGGAAGCGGCACACTGCACGTGCGCACGTGCAAGCGGGGTCCAAACTGACTTTTGCACGGCACCCTACTAACTGGTCCCCAACCGTGTACCAAATTTGAGCGCAATCGGCCCAGCCGTTCTCGAGATCTGGGAGCGCCCCCTGTACGTGCGCACGTGCTGTAGCACCCCAACCTTAACACATGCAGATGAATCATCTGATGGAGACCTAACTGTGTACCGAGTTTCAATTCAATCGGCCCAACTGTTGTGCCGTTATTGAGGTTGCAATTTTGGGGGTTCTTAAAAAATGTCCAACTTTACCACGCGCCACGTGCGGTGGTTGGCAAGAACGCATGGTGGCCATCACACCACAGAACTTTTACGTCCAAGTGACATTCAGTAAAGAAGACCGCTTGTCAATCGGATGTCCCGTTCCTAAGATATTAGCTTTTGAAGAGCGTCCCCACGGCCGGCCGGCCGGCCGGCCGCTCATACTCAGGATTTTCCCTTAATTCAGTATGAGACTCCGCTCGCTTCGCTCGCTCCGTAACAAACGAAATTCTGCATATAATGCTTTTGAGAGAGCGACTGAGTCATTCCTATTTATTTAGGGCAGGGTCTGAACGACTAAAATTTGACACAACATATCGAGTTGTGTTAGGACACGGAGCTTTTTTGAGCGGGAACTGATGAGATTAAATGGTGGGAATGATGAGAATGTTGAAAACGTATCAACCACGCAGCCCTGGTAAACAGAAGTTGAGAAAATGAAAATGTCTTAAGCGTTGGGCGATTGTCTTGAGACCACTCACACATCGACTCAGATCAGATACTTCAAGCAGCGGGGAAGTTATTCAGACGAGCATTAATGAAGGGTTAATACGTGTGCTGACGTACCTCAAGTGAAAGGTAGGCAGCATCCACTCTTCAATGTAATGGCAGGTCCTTAGATGAAATGGCACGTCTAGATTAACAAGCATTTTTTTCTGTACACCAATGAAGTGTCTTTCACTTTACTATTGGAATCTTTACAAATCTTATTCTACTTCACTCATCAGCATCTCCTTCTTTACACACGACGATGACGTCTTCATCTTCCTTGTCGTCGTGAGGTTCATCGGCTCTTTTATCGGAGTTGTCATTGATGGCGTCTTGAGCAGCATCAACGTTGCCTATCAGATCCACCTTCACACGTGGCGCGAGCGTTCGTGAAGTAGAGTTTTCGCTGTCTTCTTCTTTTCCTAGTGGGTCGACATCCTTGTTGTGTTGTTCTTCCGGGCCACTAGAATGAATGGCACTCGCGTCTGCGGATGAGTTCTCTTTTGTTTCTGCGACAGGCTTCTCACCATCTGTCTTGTTTTCCGTACCCTGAGAGTCAGAAACCGGTTCACTGTGTTTTTTAGTCGTACGCCCTGACGAAACTTCAGGGCCCGACTCATTTTTCAGGGTTTCTTCAGCCTGGTTGCTTTTCTTGGTTTGCTTTGCAGTCTTCTCCGCCTTGCGATCAGTCGAACTCGCCTTTCGATCTCGCGAATCGCCGTTTCCACGCACCTTGGTGACGGACCTCGATGTTTCACTCCTTTCACCACTCTTCACGTTCACTCCTTTCTTCTTGTGCACTTTCAAATCCAGCTTCTCGTCTAGGACGGGTAAGACGACCTTCAGAACCAAGTGGTGCCACTGCTTCTCGATCTTCGGCACGGGATACTTGCCAGAAGAACCCGTGAAGAAGTCGGGCCGGAAGATCTGGTTGGTAAACACCGTCCATGTGAAGTTCACATTATCGACACAGTTCCTGGCGTTCGTCTCTTCGATGAGCATATTGGCCTGTTTCGCCAAAATCACAGTGTATTTGTTGGCCTGCCTCGGAGGAACACGTGTGACCAAGATCCGGCTATGCGGAGAGTGGTTTCTGACTCTGGCGCTAATACTCTGAAGCGTCCTGCGCATCCCATCGATGACGCGATGGTGTTCGACTCTATCTGCCGTGTAAATATCATTCCCTCCGCCACAGACAAC